ATTGTATGAATTAAGTTACCTTAAATTTGTAGCATTTTTAACATTTAAAAAAAATCTACAATGATTTTAAATGATTTTTAAAAAGGCTTAGGAGAGGAGGGGAAGTGGTAGAAGGGAACAGAAAGGGAAAGCTGGGAAGGGTCAGATGGGGAAAATACTGTAGAATACTGTAGAAATACTGGAGAATACTGTAGAAGGCCTATAAGGATGTATAACTGTGTCAGGCCATTGGAGAAGAATAACTTCACAGAGAAGAGGCAAAAGATAATGTGTTTAAATACATGGTCCTATGGCAAGGCAAAAAGCTATACAGTGGAGCCTCGGGTCGCAACCATAATCTGTTCCCGGACTCCAGTCGCAACCCGATTTGGTTGTGTCCGGAAGCACGGCCGTCAAAAAAATGGCGCCGAAGGGGAAATCAGCGCAGAAAGGGAATCTTTCAATTTTGTTCGCCACCCAATTTTTGAATCATGACCCGATTTGGTCACGAACAGCAGCGTTCCCAACCCAAAGTTCCACTGTATATGCTTGCATGATATACTTTGCTTCCCTCTGCTTTTTTAAGTGCGAGCTTTGTTGGTTCTCTTTTGAGTTTGGGCAAGAATGTTGCATACTTGAAATGATTTGCAGTTTTTGCCTGTGTTGCACTTTGGCTATCAAGGGCAGTCCCATTTGAAGGGCATATGGCACTCTAGGCAACATTGATTATTGCTGCTGCTTCTCACTGATATAAAGATTTGTATTTTTAGGATGATTCAGAAGGAGAGGTAGAGTTGGCACCCACTCAGTTTTGAAGCCCTATACCAATGCCTAAAGCTGGCCCTGAATCAGGCAATATTTTTAATGTTGCTAATTAGGTTAACTTGATCGTGTATTTGACTAAAGTAAAAAATATACAAAGGCACCCTGACCTATTTTTAAGATGATACACTGACAGGGTTATGGAAGCTATGAAGATGATACATAACTCCTCTGTAATGAGGAAAAACTGCCACATGCTTATACAGATATGGATACAGGAATCATGGACGTAGGTAAATTTATCCTGAAGAATAAAATGATTTCTCATTGATACTTTTACAGAATCTGTTATCCGTAAATAAATCTTGCCCTAATTTACTCAATGTAGTTCATCATATATTTGCTCTGTTTCTGCCTATTTATATTATATAGCAATAAATATAACAGTACTTGATATTTCATTTATAGTATCTAATCTAATGTTTTTGTCTTTTTATAGCATCATTTCCTTTTCCCAGTGTTATGTTGGTTGAAAGTTATTACTTTCACAGTTATTGCTATTAGATAATTAAGGTATATATTACATATTTATTATGCAGGGTGAAGATTATTGCTTCTTTTGAATACTGAAAAAACATGTATATCTTTTGTATACTGTAAGGTTGAAAGAAATGTAAACGTAATGTCGTTCTTCCCTTAAAAACAGTGGGTGACATGTTTATGTCTTAGCTTTGTGGAAGATGGAAAAATTCTTTGTAGTGGTTATTGCTTGTGTGTCTGAACTGAGGCCTTGTAAAGATCCCCACCCAGACTATTTATTTTATCTAACTTTTAAACTATCCTACACTGGTAATATATTTATACATAAGAAAATAGCTGTATGTGTAGCATTTTTGTCAGGCCATAGAAAGCTGTAATTCCAAATTCTAAAACTTCTTAAGTCAAAATGGTGCTGAAATGATCTTTTCAGATTCCTATATTTTCACATATAGATTATTCAGAAATTATTGTCTGATAAATTCCACTATATTTTGTCCTTGAATCGCTCTTAGCTGCTCAGACAAAACTAAGAAGAATTTGTGTATTAAGTTCTACCAATTCAAACTGAAAGTAATGCTCTCACAAAAATGAATTAAAATTCTTCTTGAAAAATGTAAAAGAGAAGTGTTCTAGTTTGCCTGGTTTTCTAACATCTAATTTTCTGTATATTCCCTAGGTTCAGCATATTTATTCTGCAGTGGTAGAAGCAAGGGAACAGCTTGACCTCTTTAATATGATCTAGACTTCTCTTACTAATAGCATGTGCCTATCTCCTAGATTGGAAAGTTTCTTGCTGTTTCTGTTTCACTCAATGCTTCACTCCTTTGCTCGTGTTGAGAAGATTGTGGCAAGCTTAGGATTCCGCCCTCCCTTCTTTATTGTTGTGCCTCAATCCATTTACCCCAATTCTTTTCTCTCTTCTGTTGCTCTAATCTGGCAACTATTCTTCTGAAGCATTGCCAGGTCAGTAAGTGTATACTGTAAACTAAAAGAGGGTCAGAACTTATGTCTTTATCAGAACCTTTATCCTAAAAGGGTATCAGGTGTGATACCCCTCTAAAGAATCTTGCTGGTAATCTCTTGTTGAGTGGGAGTGTCTGCTACAAACATTTCCTCCCAGTCTACCTTTCAATGGTACTTCACAGTACACTGAAAATTATCAGGCACAGTTAATTATTGGCCTCATGGAACAACCCACCCACTTTGATTCAGGCATGCTTTTCCCAATATTTAAGAAGGTTATTTAGCAACGGTACAGTGTAATTACAGAAAATAGTTTGGGTTAGTTAACATTTTTATGTTTTGTATGTTTGGTTTACAAGTCTAAAAGCACCTTCAGGTTCAAACTTTAAATGGCTCAGCATATGAGCGGAATTTTAACTGCTGGATGTCAGGAATCAAGATTTGCCTGTTAGAACTCTGGAAGAATTGTATCACTGAAACTCATCAATAAAGGAACTTGTGATAGGAAGCCACTATATTTAGAGCTGGGGTGGTCAATTAATTTTCCTAAAGGGCCACATGAGAAAACTGGGACCAAACCAATAGGGCTGTGAAGGTGCATAGGCCCACATTCATACACATACGTAATTTTTTTAAAAAATAACAGTTGCCTCCAAAATAAAAGCAATGCAGTTGCATTGCATGTATGTCATACATTTATTTATATTTGACTTCTAATTTCTGATTGACCTCACATGGGTTGGACAGGAGCAGCCAAAGGGATGGATGGATGTGACCCAGAGTCAGGGGTGAAACCTGACTGGTGTAACGACCGGTTTGGTGATTTTACCAGTTTTGCGAAATAAAGGTCAGGTGAGAGCCCAGGCAGACGGGTGGGCCAAAACAGCAGCAGACATAGAACCGGTTCTATGTATGTTCTCTGTCTGCTGCTCTTCAGAACTACCAGTTCTACAGAGGTGGACAGAACTGGTCCCCCACCCCTGCCCGGAGTCCATAAAATGCCCAGGTCTGATTTAGAGTGAACATTTTCTTACACATACACACACTGATTCCCAAGCCTACTTCATAGCTGTATCTAATCATCTGTATCTAAATATATTCTGTATTATAAATAAATATTGAGGGCCAGGACAAAATACAAAGATTATACTGCTAAAGGGGAGAAAGAATCAAAATGCTCTGGCTCTAATCAATTTTTTTCTAGTAATTCATAATATTATACTGTTCCCAGCCAGAGCAGCTTACTAGAAAAAGTTATACTGTACGTACAGCTGCCTTTGAAAAATTGAAAACTTCAAGCAACACAAAACGGAGCTCCCTTGATATTGATGGAGTTGATTAGTTCCTCAGAGGTCTTATATTAATTTTAAACCTTGACTGTTCATTGGTGTCTGAATTTCCTGCAGATGGCCTTTAAAGGCTATGTAATTTCAGTGCCAAATACTTGAAGGTTTGCTTTTTCACATTTGTGTTTAACTGTAAATTTAGCTTTTTCTCAGAGGACCTGATGATTTGCCCAATTTATTTTAAAGATAGTGGACGGTTGCATACGATCTTCTCAGAAATAACACCAAGTTATTCCTGAGAATACACCAAGTTCTTATGGAACTCCTGCCTTGGCCATCTTCCTCACCATCTTAGTCAGGTTAGAGAATTCTACAAAAATTTGGATCTACAATACATGGATTTCTGGTCAATGTGTGTTGCTTTTCTAACTTTCTAAAACAAGAACATATACAAGCCCAGAATTACTAAAACACTAGAATTATATGTCCTGTTATAGAATATTATGCACTTTTGTTTGTTTATTTACTAGATTACCTCAGGTGTTGCTCCAAGAGATCAAGGCAGCATATTGGGGGCGAGGGGATCTCCTTTAATTTGTCCTGGTCCAATACCTTAATTAGTATACTGCACTCACTTCTTGTGACTGATTATGTTTTTCAAATTCTTCTGAGATCTTATTTTTTAAGTTATATTAAAAAGAATAATTGAAACAAATTATTCTGGAATAGCTAGAGTTTCTGAATGGCTAGTAGCAATGTATATGAAAGACTTTGACTATGTACAGCCTCTAGATCAGGCGTGTCAAACTCAAGTCCCGGGGACTTAATCTGGCCCCCGGGATGCTTAGATCTGGCCTGCAGGGCCACTCTGGAAACAGAGAAGGACCGGCTCATGGTGCCTCTGCCAGTGAAAACAGAGCTCGGGAGAGCTGCATGAGCTCCATTTTTGCTGGCAGAGGGTTGTAGGAGGCCGTCGCAGCCAGAAATGGAGCTTGGGAACCCATTTTTGCTGGAAGAGTGCTCAGGCCACCACAAGCACCCCAACACAAGTGATGTTGAGTTGGCCACACCCACCTTGGCCACACCCACCCTGGCCCCCCAAGGTCAAACACAATGCTGATGTGGCCTTCAATGAAATTGAGTTTGACACCCCTGCTCTAGATTGTTGAACAGAACCAGTGAGAAAGATCTGTTATGTCATGTCCTATTCACAGGTTCCTTAGAGGTACATGGTTGTTTACTACTGAATTCGGGACACTGAAGTATAACATACCTTCTTAGATTTTGACTCCAAGGCACTGTTACCTATGATTCCATTTTACTACAGTTACATTTATCTCTCAGAAAACCTCCGTAACTTTTTCTATTCTCTGTGCTGCTGAAATGAAACATAGTGCCATCTGTTGTAAAATGGTACTTTTTCCATTGTTTAAAATGAAACACCTTTTTTCTGTTTCTGCTGTTTCATAGGAAAAATTGCTTGCTATGCAACAAGAGAGAGAAGCTGCTATTCATCAATATAAAAGTCTAGAAGAAGAACTGCAGACTCTTCGTATTTATTACAGGTAATGCCATTTCTATTTTTTTTTAAATAAATGTATATGCTATCCATCTTGCTATCCAAAATGACTCTGGGCAGTTTACAGTACAATTCAGTACAGTACAATTGTAAATGTGGGAAAATAATGTAACATTATTCCTAAAAATCACAAATATGCAAAGCAAAAATGAATTAATATTCCAGAATTCCAGTCTACATCCGTTTTTCCTTTTAATATCATTTCAGCCTGATAAAGCTGTACCCACTATTTAGTCCCATGCATTGTTCTTTGGCTTGAAATCTATATGGATGGCATGTTTCCAGCCTATTGAGCCGTGGTGGCGCAGTGGTTAGAATGTAGTACTGCAGGCTACTTCTGTTGCCTGCTGCCTGCCTGCAATTTGGCAGTTCAAATCTCACCAGGCTCAAGGTTGACTCAGCCTTCCATCCTTCTGAGGTCAGCAAAATGATTGTTGGGGGCAATATGCTGACTCTGTAAACCACTTAGAGAGGGCTGTAAAGTGTAAGTCTACGTGCTATTGGTATTTCTATTGCTATTATATTCCAAATACCGGTGAAAAAGTGTCAAAGAGCAGGAAGCATTTCTGATACAACATAATTTCTTGGACTGGAGGTTAGTTTCAGGGCACCTCTGGTTTGCAGATCTTAGGTTACAGATTGCCAATGTCAGTGGCATCAGGGCTGTTACTTACATACCAATATAGCAGATTCAAATATCTTCTTCTTTTTAGTATTCAAATTATCTCTGCTTATGTCTACTGCTTAAGGTTAGGATCATAAGAAAAACAAGAAAGAAAATACATTTTCATTTTCTTACCCAGAAAACTTTTTGCAAAGGCATAAAGAACCTACAACGTTTTATCCCACAGTTACATTGGGATATATAGCTTGCCTCTGAAATATAGTTAATTAAATCAATAATGGGTTTCTTGAATGTTAGCTTCTAGCCTAATAAGTTGTGCTGAACTTGTTTAGGCTCACTATTACACACACACACACACACACATACACACACACACCTGGCTTGTTATCCATTCTAGTTCAAACCTTGTTCTATTTTGCTGGGATATTGGCTGAGACTCTAGTTGACCTAAATGTTTCTAAGTAATATGCAATATACACTGCTCAAAAAAATAAAGGGAACACTTAAACAACACAATGTAACTCCAAGTCAATCACACTTCTGTGAAAGCAAACTGTCCACTTAGGTAGCAACACTGATTGACAATCAATTTCACATGCTGTTGTGCAAATGGAATAGACAACAGGTAGAAAGCATAGACAGTTAGCAAGACATCCCCAATAAAGGAGTGGTTCTGCAGGTGGTGACCACAGACCACATCTCAGTTCCTATGCTTTCTGGCTAATAGTTTGGTCACTTTTGAATGCTGGCAGTGCTTTCACTCTAGTGGTAGCATGAGACGGAGTCTACAACCCACACAAGTGGCTCAGGTAATGCAGCTCATCCAGGATGGCACATCAATGCGAGCTGTGGCAAGAAGGTTTGCTGTGTCTGTCAGTGTAATGTCCAGAGCATGGAGGTGCTACCAGGAGACAGGCCAGTACATCAGGAGATGTGGAGGAGGCCATAGGAGGGCAACAACCCAGCATCAGGACCGCTACCGACACCTTTGTGCAAGGAGGGACATGAGGAGCACTGCCAGAGCCCTGCAAAATGACCTCCAGCGGGCCACAAATGTGCATGTGGCTGCTCAAACGGTCAGAAACAGACTCCATGAGGGTGGTAGGAGGGCCCGACGTCCACAGGTGGGGGTTGTGCTTACAGCACAACACCATGCAGGATGTTTGGCATTTTCCAGAGAACACCAAGATTGGCACATTCGCCACTGGCACCCTGTGCTCTTTACAGATGAAAGCAGGTTCACACTGAGCAAATGTGACAGACATGACAGGGTCTGGAGACGCTGTGGAGAACGTTCTGCTGCCTGCAACATCCTCCAGCATGACCGGTTTGGCAGTGGGTCAGTAATGGTGTGGGGTGGCATTTCTTTAGGGGGCCGCACAGCCCTCCATGTGCTCGCCAGAGGTAGCCTGACTGCCATTAGGTACCGAGATGAGATCCTCAGACCCCTTGTGAGACCATATGCTGGTACGGTTGGCCCTGGGTTCCTCCTAATGCAAGAGAAAGCTAGACCTCATGTGGCTGGAGTGTGTCAGCACTCCTGCAAGACGAAGGCATTGATGCTATGGACTGGCCCACCTGTTCCCCAGACCTGAATCCAATTGAGCACATCTGGGACATCATGTCTCGCTCCATCTCACCAACGCCACGTTGCACCACAGACTGTCCAGGAGTTGGGGGATGCTATAGTCCAGGTGTGGGAGGAGATCCCTCAAGAGACCATCTGCCACCTCATCAGGAGCATGCCCAGGCGTTGTAGGGAGGTCATAAAGGCACGTGGAGGCCACACACACTACTGAGTCTCATTTTGACTTGTTTTAAGGACATTACATCAAAGTTGGATCAGCCTGTAGTTTTTTTTCCACTTTAATTTTGAGTGTAACTCCAAATCCAGACCTCCATGGGTTGCTAAATTTGATTTCCATTGATAATTTTTGTGTGATTTTGTTGTCAGCACATTCAACTATGTAATGAACAAAGTATTTAATAAGAATATTTCATTCATTCAGATCTAGGATGTCTTATTTTTGTGTTCCCTTTATTTTTTTGAGCAGTGTAGTAATAACAGCTAAGATTTTAATTCACCATCATTGGTTCAAATATCTTACAATTAAAGAAAGGCTTCCAAATAGATGGCATCTTGCTTTGATTACAAATTGTTTGCAATTAATATGTTGGTTTACAGGCAATGGACACAGACATAAACTATAACCATAAACCATTCTTTCTTCTAGCTTAAATCTATTCATATATTTCAGAAAGTGCTTTTTAAAATGTTTGGCATGTTTAAAGAATCCAAAAAAATCATCGATTTGAAATGGCCCACTTAAGCCATTTGGTCCAACTCTCTGCTCAACTGGAATACAAACTATAGTCTTGTGACAGACAGCAGTCTCTTCCAAGTGATTCTAATGTTGAGCTGTTCTTATTTATTGTAATGAACTTTTCCATGACTCAACTGGAATTTGCCTCCCTGAAATATAAGCTTATAATTCCATGTGCTACACTTTGGGACAATAAATAACAGGACTTGGCCTTTCTGTATGTGACATCCTTAAGCTACATCTTTGAGCCCTATTTGCACATAATATGCAGGTGTATGGGACAGGTTTTTCAGCCCAATTTGCCATCAGCAGGAATTATTCTGGGGCAGCTACCAGAGACAGAATGCCATTACTACCTTCCTTAGGAACTCTATTTTTTTAAACATGATTTTTTTTCAAAAAGTGTGCATGATATTCATACAGCTGTGGTCAGTGAACTGTCCTTTGAAGTCCCTTCATCATTTCAGAATGCCAGTACTACACCATTCAACCCTTAACAAAATGCTGTTTCTGTTAGAATAATAATTCGAATCATTATTGCATTAATCACTTAAATTTTTTTGATAGACTTTGCCAAACGTTAAAGCATAGTATATATATCAAAGCTTAAAATATACAAATCATCTTTTAATACTTTTCAAATGTATATTTTTAATATCATTTTCTTCATTATCATTATCTTCATTATTTTATTTAATGAAGATTCATGGGGCTAGATTACTCTACAGTTTTAGGGAAAATGCAGTAAATTATGCAAATATTATATTATGGAAAACACAAATTAAGACAGGCACTATTAGCTTGTTCTGTAATCCAGCCCTTGTCAAACAACTGCAAAATTGCCAATAGAAAACAAGAAGAAGGTAAAGTATATATTCTTCTCTGTCTGTCCACTGACCAAGTGAAACTTGCTACCATGAAGAACATTTTGACAATTTATGACAGAAAACTCAAGAATATGTTATTCTAAATTTAAATTCAATTATTATTTAAAAAATAAGATTTCTAAAAAAACCTAAAACAATCTATTTTGTTTAAGAAGGAAAGAAGTAGGATGGAAAAGTACAAAAATGGGGCTGTCCCAATTCTGTGAAAAATTGAGTCTTAGTGAAATGTATTCCGTTTATTATTAGTCATGAAAAGTTTTTATTAACCTGATCTAGGAGAACTATTCTTAAAACAATACTTTGCATAACTGTCATAAACTATATATTGCCAGTTAAAATATTCTAATTTTCTAACTGCTGTATTTTCTTGGCAATGATTAATGCAAATAATAAAAACTGGATAGGCAGGTAAATTGTAATCCTTCTTCCTGTCAAAGGGAACACAAAAAATGGAAGAAAAAATCATAAAAATATGGCAAAAATAATATATATTGTAGACTTTTTAAAAAGAATGATTAATCCCAAAGAATATAGGAATTATTACTATTTTTATCTAAGCTATACAAAGCCTTTGAAAGAGGTATTTTACAATGCACAGGAGAACGTAAGAAGCATCTCTTTTTGGATTATTAAAGCAGCCATGTCTTTTATAAGGCTCATGCAGTTACTTTGGAAGCTGTTCTGTGTGCATGTGAGAAATCAGGACATCTTTGCTTTAACAATGATTTAATAATTCATTGTTTTAATATACCAGTGCCTTAACAAGTTGAAAATAGGTGCTTTATGTGTGTCCTTCTTTTTTCAAAGACTTTGCATTCTTGTGTCTGTTAATGTCAGGCCCACTAAGTAGTCCAGCCATGTAGTTAATTTCATAGGAAGGCTAAAACTACTTTTAAGATTGGCTGTAAGAACAGAATCTGATTTGGCTATACTTTCCCCTGCTTCCTAGTCCAGTGAATTAGGGAGGTGTCTGTTTGAGCTATTTTAGAACATTATCTCAACAGTCTAGACTTTAAAAATAATGTAGCCATTGAAATGACCACATACACAAGTCTCAGCACGTTGCTCATTTAATTTACCAGCCAGTTCTCTGGACCTATCCAGTCTTCTATGCCATGCCCCTTTTCTTTACAACTTATTGATGCAGTCT